ATTCAATGTGCATTATTCAGGCAAGGCTGGTTCCCTGCTGCTTACGTAGGCCCCATGGATGAACCACCTGGACCACCTGATTCAAGGTAAGCCAATACTGCACATTTCCCAACACCTGCGCATCAGTCTCATGATCTTTGACCTCTTTCTCTGTTCAGTAGCAGCTCTTTCAGACGCAGCAGCAGTATGAGTAACCTCCTCGACCAACCTGTGAGCAGAAGCCAACAAACAGCTCCGACTTTACCTCCGCCACCGCCGCCAGCTCCGTCAACCAGATCCAGCAATTCCCGGCCGGTCACTCCCACCCCTTCGGAAAACAGAGTAAGACCTGTTCAAATCAACATAAGCAGCATTACAGGGATAGTTCACCCAAAAATGAAAATGCTGTCATTATTTACTCACTCTCACTCTGTATGAGTTTCTTTCTTCTGCTGAATACAAAAGAAGACATATTGAAGAATTTGGGTAACCAAACAGTTGACAGTAGCCATTGACTTCCAAAGTATTTTTTTCTTCTTCCATGTTATGGAGGTCAATGGCTACCGTCAGCTGTTTGGCTACCAACATTTTTCAAAATATCTTTTTTTGTGCTCAACACAAGAAAGAAACTCATACAATGCCGGAACGACAAGAGGCTGAGTAAATAATGGTAGAATTTACATTTTTGGGTGAACTATCCTTTTAACAACACATTTAGTTCAGAAATGTGACATATTTCTGAATAGAAATTTTAAAAGAAAAATGTATTTATTTTTTTAAATTAATCTTTTCTAATTATATATATATATATATTCAAATTACAACTTTAAAAAAAAAAAATGCTGATGAATAAAATAAAAGAAAAATCCACTTTATCCATTTGCAAGACTGTGAAAAGTGATCTATATGACAGGTTGTTGAAGGTATTGTCAATTTCAGCCAAAAAGGAAAAAATATGTCTTGATGAAAGATTATAAAGGCAAACATTTTTGTCTTTGCATTGCAGCGCACCATTTTTTGTGTATCGCTCACATTCAGAGAAAGAACATTAGGAAAGTAAATAGGGTCCAGTTTGATTCATGCTGACTTTTATAACTGAAGAAAAGTGATCACTTTCTGTTTATTTAATCAAATAACAAATTAATATTACATGCAAAGTAAAAAAAAATGTACATGCTGCAACTGTAATGGTAGTAATCCTTTGAGTGTGTTTTACACTCTGATGTGGTTTGTGATTTAAATTTTTTTTTTTGAAGATTTGCTGATGCTCAGAATATTTTAAATCCCTGGAGAGATCCTGACTGTATGAATGTAAATGTGCAGATGAGATGAGAACAGGCTGACGTTGGATTTGAAGTGTTAGTTCTTACTGTGGCCAGCAGGGGCACTGTGGTGAAGTGCTGTTCTCCACCACACCTCATCCTGCATTTTGGTGGCTGCAAGGGGGCAGCTCTTTCTGCTGACGGTCTGTGTGTGTGTGTGTGTGTGTGTGTGTGTGTGAGAGTATGTGTGCATGTGCATGCTTTGATGTGATCCTCTGATATACCACAACAGGGCTACAATTATATATAACCCTATTGCTTGCTGTTGCATTTGTTGTGGTGTGCCGTGGCTATATATATTTGTATATATAATTGTTTTATTGAAATACTGGATAATTTTAAAAAGAGAAGCACCTGTAATATCATAATACATTGACTTAATTCTTTTTTTTTCATCTGTGTAAACTAAAATAATATAATCTTTAGTAAATTTAATATTTTTGTCCAACATAGTAATACATGATAATGTTTTGCATAGTAGAATCCACCTAGATTTTCAGTAGTTATAAAATACCAGGCTGGTTTGAATGATGTTCTCTTGCGAGAATAGTACATTTTCGTATTAGTTTAAATGATTTAGCATCAGATGCCAAATTTAAATCGCACTGCCTGATTTTCATGTGACTTTTATACATGTACTGTATATAATGTAATATACATCCATAATGCTGGGGGCCACAAAATACAAGCTAATGGGCTGAATAAGGCTCCAAAATGAGGTACCAAAAGGCGGGGGGGGGGGTTTATGATCATAATTCTTTCAAAGAATTTATGATTTTAACGCTCTAAAGAACCCTTTTCCACTGTAAAAAACCTTTTGTGCAGTGGAAAGATTCCATGGATGTTAAAAGTTAATCATAGAACCATCAATGCCACTAAAAAAACGTCTCTGGTGTTTTTTCAATGTATGCTTCAGACACGGGTCACGACGAGGCGTTCCCCATAGCGACCCCTAGAGGACGCAGTTCGAAGTTCCCATGAAAGGGAACTTTATTTTTAAGAGTGTAGGAGCAGTTAAGCAGTTAGTGTCAGTATAGTTATCTAGATTCAGTATCAGTCTCCAGGAGAAAACATCACGTTCGTCTGGTTTTGAAACAGTTCTAAAAAAATCATCAGTGCTAAATAACTTTTTTTTTTTTTTTACAGAGACAAGATAGCTATGAGTCTCGACCACAACTTTTTCCAAGGTTGGTAGAAACATGTTTCATATCCATTAACCCCCTACTTGAGTTGCTTTTTTGTTTTCTCAGACACTAATATAATATCTATGTGGTAGATATTTGTGTTTAACATGATCTTTTTTTTCTCCCTCTTTTTACAGAGGCACAAATCCATTTGCCACTGTGAAGCTGAAACCCACCAAAACCAATGACAGATCAGCTCCACGCATATGAATAATATTTCTTCACCGGCTAATCAGTGCTGCACATTTTACTGTACATTGCTCAGCTGTTTTCAAAAACATTAATTTTCCAGTGTAATCAGTACGAAGCATCACATTTAAGACTCAATGCAACTCAAGAATGATCAACGCTAGTCTTTAAAAGTTCATTAAAGCAGGTAGTTAAGATAATTTATCTTTACCTTCAGGCCGTTGGAGGGGCTGCGGCACCAAACAATTAATAACACTATATATAATGGCCTCATAAATATCTGGGCACATAAGTCACACTTAAAATGTATGAATTTCATGATGTGGCATATTCAAACAAACACTGGTTTTAGTAGATGTGTGAAGTCAGTTCTTCTCAAGTTCACACAGGTGTTCTATTAAATCACATTAACTATGGACATGTTGAACTAACATCTTATGAAACCTGACAAACTTATTTTTGTGAAATGTTTGTCTTGAAACGTGTCAAATGTCCACTTTGGTTTGATAATTTGTCATATAATGGAATCACATTTTTAAATGTGGCTTACATGTCCAAATATTTGGTAATTTCTGTGTATTTTAAAACATGACAACACTTCCTGGCTCTCTTGTCCTGTGTCCTCCAGTCCACTATAAAGAGCATCAGGGTTTGTGTGCTGGAGTTGTGTTGACTAAGCAGGAAAAGTAAATGCAGGTCAGCTCAAGTGCTTTTAAGTGCTGATATAAGTGTGTCTTTTCATCTTTACATTTTTAAATAATTGTATATGATATGCATTATGTAAGCAAAACACTTCTTAAAGCATCACGTGTCCTCCAAATGCATTTTATAAATGTATACTGTCATATTTGCTGCCATTGGGGCTGGTTTAACTACAGTTCTGTGTGGTCTGAGTCTGGGACCCCCTAGCATCTGTGATAAGTGACTATCGGTCTCTCTCCCACTCTGTACTTGAACTTTGTCTCTCGGCTCAGTTAATTCATCTGACGTGTCCAATTATAAGCTGCCCTTAAATTGGCTGTTCTGTCTGCTTAAGTGCCTGTAAAGTAAATGTTCATTTTAACCTCGACAGTAATTGGTGTGACCTTCTCCTGAGGTGTCAAGCCCATTAGTACAAACCCATTTGTAGGGATGTTTTGTATTTCATCAGGAAGTTTTTTTTTCTTGCTTAATTGATGCTGAATAATCCAAACAGAAATATGTGCCTATAAAACAAATCCCCAGTGATTACAGGAAAAGATAAAGTCTATCCTGTAAATATCCCAAACTAATTCTTTACATCTTGATCTGTTTAACAAATAAAATGTAAAGTCGATTCAGTGTCTCTGAATGGGTCATTTATTAAGTGTTTGAGTGGTCTGTTGTTAGGGAGTAACTAACTAAAAGTAGCAATGCCACTAACTTTTTCACATCCCATTTTATCACCAACGTTTACCATCCAACCTGACCGAACTGGAGAGGATCTGCAAGGAGGGATGGCAGAGGATCCCCAAATCCAGGTGTGACAAACTTGTTGCATCTTTCCCAAAAAGACTCATGGCTGTATTAGATCAAAAGGGTGCTTCTACTAAATACTGAGCAAAGGGTCTGAATACTTAGGACCATGTGATATTTCAGTTTTTCTTTTTTAATAAATCTGCAAAAATGTCAACAATTCTGTGTTTTTCTGTCAATATGGGGTGCTGTGTGTACATTAATGATGAAAAAAAATTCACTTAAATGATTTTAGCAAATGGCTGCAATATAACAAAGAGTGAAAAATTTAAGGGGGTCTGAATACTTTCCGTACCCACTGTATAAATATATATATATGTATGTTGTGTGTCAGATGTCAGGATTGTGCAGCATTCAGAATTTAAATTGAGAATTACTTTTAAATTCTAATTAAATTCCTGAATTAGAATTGAGATAGAAAACTTAGAATTTAAATTAAAATTTGAATGAGAGGAATTAAAATAAAAAATGAACTGAAATATAAAGAAATTCATATAACTCTCATTATAGATAGATAGATAGATAGATAGATACTGTAGATAGTACAATAGAGAGAGAGAGAGATGATAGATAAATTTCACTGAATTACAATTTATTTAATTCCTCTTAATCCTGCCATTCAAATTCCAATTCCAACTTCCTGTGGGGTGTGGCCAATTCCATTTAAATACACACCCATGAATTAAAAGAGAAAGTTATTCCTGTAATTCAAAATTTTGCAACCCTGTCAGGACATACCATACTTCCACCTAATTATAAAAAAAAAAAGAGAGAGAACACAAATAGATTCATTACACACTGGAACTCTTGAGGCATTGTCTCTTTATTTTGTTTTCTTTCACAACTTGACCTCTTCTTTTGGTGTGTTTCACAATGGTTATAACCGGAGAGATGGAGAGAGTTTGGAGGGGAGGAGAGGAACGAAAGATCAATGCGAGAGATACAAGGAAGATAAAGACAGACGAAGAATTGTGGATGATGGAGAATGCATTGTTTTCTTTTCTAATATATCTACATATTGCCGGCATGAGGTTTTGTCCTGTTAAAGGTCTCTTGATCTATACACTAGCAGAAACACTCACTTTTGTATAAAAAGGAAAATAAATAGCATGAAGGTCAGTTTGTGTGTCTGTGTGTAGGGAGGTGTTCAGGATGGGGCGTACAAGCGTGTGAGGGTGTGTGTAAGGGAGTGTGTGTGTGTGTGTGTGTGTGTGTGTGTGTCTGTGCTTCAGGGGCGTTACGCTGAGGTCGAGGTCAAAGGGTCATAAGGTATGAACAGGCCAAGTATTTGAGTCACTTATTCACGAACCAGAGCAGTAAACTCTGAAACAAGAAGAGAAAGAGATTATTGGCATTTTTTGCATAATATGGGTTAGTATAAGCATCATATTCATAAGGGCTCCAGACTGCAACTAAAATGTTGTAAGTGCAATAAATAAATAAATAAATGCCACAATAATTTAAAATGTAATCAGTTTTGAAAACTTTGTGTGCATCCATATACAGTTTTGTGAGATATCACAGAATAAGAATAAAGGTGTCTGATTCAAATGACTCTAATGAAAAAGCTATTTTTAATCAGTCATTCTAAAAGATTCATACTAGTACTTTTTTATATTTTAAAAAGAAAGTGTTTTCATATCTTATCACTTATCAAAGTCAGGGCTCCCATGGTGCCCCCTCAAAAAAAAAAAAAAAAAAAAAAAAAAATAGATGCATGACGCCCCTGGTGTTATGGCGTATTACTTTCATTTTACCTGCTGCTCCAATCTTTCCATCTCCATCTTTGTCCGCAGCCTGCAGGAATGCTTTGGTCTCCTTATCGGTCAGGTCTCTCCCATCTGTAGCAAAATGCTTCAAAACAAACCTGCACAGAGGAAACAAAGAGAGTCTAACAGCTTTCAAATGTACTGTGTGCTCGCCCTTAACATTGAGAGTTTCATTACAAATCTTACTGGTAACAAGCTGGTTTGCTTGTAGTGTAGAAATGGTGTAATCTTACTTAAGTTCCTCTTCCTCTATAAAGCCGCTATTGTCTGCATCTAGGACATAGAAAGCCTTCTTCACATCGTCAGCTGACTTCGCCTTCAGTCCGACCATCTCAAAAAACCTCTTGTGGTCGAATGAGTCGACAGCTACAAGAAGGTCACAAAAAGAGAGAGAATGAATGACGTTTTGGCCAGAAACTAGGACGAGTTTACATGAAAAAGGGAATTCTGCCATCATTTTGTTGAATGCAAAAGGTGAATTTTCTCTTGATATAATGAAAGTAAATAGAGTTTGGGACTGTCAAGCTTCAAACAGAACAAAACAAGCACCATAAATGCATCATAAATATGGTCTGTACTATTTGTGCACTACGTGTTTTGAAGTCATATAATAGTAAACAGACTGAATAAACAGACTTAAGGTTTGGATCCCTTAAAACCTGCCCTTTGCTTTGGCTCTCAAATCAAATATGTTGCATTAGCCAGGTATGAGTGGAAGATTTCAGTAAAATTGCTTGAAGTGCATGAGTCATGTGAAACACTTTTATAGTGCTTCTTTGTCCTTTTAGAGTTGAATGGCCCCAGTCCCCATAACTTTCATTATAATAAAAAGAACCAGGATATTAAACAACAATTTTGGCTTCCAACAATTGTAAAAACAAGATAACAAAGACAAAACAATTATTGGGCTGTGTGACGAGAGGGGTGGGGCCGAGAGCCGAGGGAATGGAGCGAGGCCGGTGGAGTAACCTGCGCCACTCACCGGTCTCGAGTCCCACGGAGGAGCTCCGGAAGGATAAAAGGAGGAGTGACAACAGTGTTGGAGGAGAGAGGACCAGGCCTGGATTTTATTTTGTGTTTTGGTACTGTTTGTGTGCGACAGTACTATTTTGTGTTTATTTTATTATTAAAGTTTTGTTTGAATGTTCGCCGGTTCCCGCCTCCTTCTTCCCGAACTACGAACTTTGTTACATTGGTGCCGAAACACGGGAAGAAGGAGGCGGGAGCCGGCGAACATTTAAACACTTTAATAAAATAAACAAACACAAGTAAAGTAAAGCGGCAGCCCCTCGCGGACGACTGCCACACACAAAATAAAATCCAGGCCTGGTCCTCTCTCCTCCAACACTGTCATCACTCCTCCTTTTATACTTCCGGAGCTCCACCGTGGGACTCGAGACCGGTGAGTGGCGCAGGTTACTCCACCGGCCTCGCTCCGTTCCCACGGCTCTCGGCCCCGCCCCTCTCGTCACATGCTGCTTTCCATTTTGCAATAATGCTCTCGTTTGTCATTTACATTATAAATCCAGCTAAAGTGGTTTTTAGTTAGCCCTTCCCTAAATGTTTAGTAGTTTTCAGCAGGTTAAATAAATGTAAAAAACATTTTAAATTTTATATGATGCATTGTGCGTGTGTATATATACAGTATATATAGTGCTGCTTGAAAGTTTGTGAACCCTTTAGAATTTTCTATATTTCTGCATAAATATGACCCAAAACATAATCAGATTTTTGCACAAGTCCTGAAAGTAGACAAAGAGAACCCCATCAAACAAATATTTTCTTTGTAATTTATTTATTGAGAAAAATTATCCAGATTTACATATCTGTGCAGTGCAAAAGTATGTGAATCTTTGCTTTCAGTATCTGGTCTGACCCCCTTTTGCAGCAATAACTGCAGGTAAATGTTTCTTGTAACTGCTGATCGGCTTGTAGGAATTCTAGCCCCTTCCTCAGTACAGAACCACTTCAACTCTGTGATGTTGGTGGGTTTCCTCCTATGAACTGCTTGCTTCAGCTCCTTCCACAACATTTCAATTGGATTAAGGTCCAGACTTTGACTCTGTCATTCCAAAACTTTAACTTTGTTCTTCTTTAACCATTCTTTGGGAGAACGACTTGTGTTCTTGGGGTTGTTGTCTTGTTGTATGGCCCACTTTCTCTTGAGATTCAGTTCATGGATAGGTGTCCGGACAGTTTCCTTTAGAATTTGCTGGTATAATTCAGAATTCATTGTTCCATCAATGATGGCAAGCTGTCCTGGCCCAGATGCAGAAAACCATGATACTACCACCACCATTTTTCACAGATGGGATAAGGTTGTTATGCTTGAATGCAGTGTGTTCTTTTCTCCAAACATAACGCTTCTCATTTAAACCAAAAAGTTATATTTTGGTCTCATCCGTCCACAAAACATTTATCCAATAGCCCTCTGGCTTGTCCACATGATCTTTAGCAAACTGCAGACGGGCAGCAATGTTCTTTTTGGACAGCAGTGACTTTCTCCTTGCAACTCTACCATGCACACCATGGGTGTTCAGTGTTCTCCTGATGGTGGACTCATGAACATTAGCCAATGTGAGAAAGGCCTTTAGTTGCTTAGAAGTTACCCTGGGTTCCTTTGCGACCTTGTGGACTATTACACGTCTTGCTTTTGAAGTGATCTTTGTTTGGTGGACCACTTCTGGGGAGGGTAACAATGGTCTTGAATTTCCTCCATTTGTACAGCTGTCTGACTGTGGATTTGTGGAGTCCAAACTCTTTAGAGGTGGTTTTGTAACCTTTTCCAACCTGATGAGCAACAACAACTCGTTTTCTGAGGTCCTCAGAGATCTCCTTTGTTTGTGCCACGATTCACTTCCACAAACATGGTCAGACTTTGATAGATCCCTGTTCTTTAAATAAAACAGGGCAGGCAATGACACCTGATTTTCTGATCATTTCACTGAATGAAAACACCTCTGAACAGATGGACTCTTAATTTCACTTTCAAATTAACTGCTGATCCTAGAGATTCACATACTTTTGCACCGCACAGATATGTAACTCTGGATAATTTTTCTCAATAAATAAATTACAAAGAAAATATTTTTGTCTCATTTGTTTGAGTGGGTTCTTTTTGTCTACCTTCAGGACTTGTGCAAAAATCTGATGATGTTTTGGGTCATATTTATGCAGAAATATAGAAAATTCTAAAGGGTTCACAAACTTTCAAGCAGCACTGTATATACAGTATGTGACCCTGGACCACAAAACCAGTCTTAAGATTCAATTTTTTTAAATTGTGATTTATACATCAATGAATAAATAAACTTTCCATTGATGTAGGGTTTGTTAGGATAGGATAATATTTGGCCGAGATACAACTATTTGAAAATCTGGAATCTGAGGGTGCAAAAAAAAAAATCTAAATATTGAGAAAATCGCCTTTAAAGTTGTCCACATGAAGTCTTTAGCAATGCATATTACTAATCAAAAATGTAGTTTTGATATATTTACAGTAGGAAATTTACAAAATATCTTCATGGAACATGATCTTTCCTTAATATCCTAATGATTTTTGGCAGAAAAGAAAAATCAATAATTTTGACCCAATGTATTTTTGGCTATTGCTACAAATAAACCCCAGCGACTTAAGACTGGTTTTGTGGTCCAGGGTCACACACACACACACACACATATATAAAGGAAATCCATGTTTGAGACACTGCAAAAGACGTGAAATGTGATTGCAATGGTCAAAGACATCCATCTAGCAAACAGACAAAAGGGAAAAAACAGCGCAGCTGAATGAAAAATGCTTTCTGTGTGAAAAGCCTCTAAAAAAGAGGTGGTTTTATATCAGTTATAAACATTGTGATTACTCTTTCTGCATATTATTTGTTTTTCAGTTTTTCAAACCATATTTTAGAGTAAGAGAACTCAAGATGGCACGTCACAATCACCTTTAAATACATCCAGGGCTTTCTTAATGTCATCAGAGTTGAGGATGCTGTTCATCGCCATTTCTACAACTGCAAAAAGAGATGCAGACAGAGAAAGAGAAAGGAAAATCAGCATTGATATACTGTATAGTAAAAAAGCAATGCAACGTGAAACTATGCCGCTGACCAGCACAAGACCATAAAGAGAAATAACTGATAAAAGGCCTTCAAGAATTCATAAATGATGAACTAGTGTCGAGGGGTGAGAGGATGCCTAACACCTGACGTGTGTGTGTGTATGTGATTCTTTTAAACCACACAACTCCGGTCCAACTCCAGATCAGAGGGGAAAACATCTTGAAGGCTTCTATATCTCACTCTATGACTCACAGGTTTAGACTTTGATAGTAAGCTAATAGACTGTACTGCTCAGTTTTTCAAGGTTCTTAAAGGGACAGTTCACCCAAAAATGGACATTATGTCATCTCATAACCAATTGTATATGTGCAAATTCAAATCATTAAGATTCAAAATCAATAAGATTTGAGTGAATCATTCAAGTCATATTTGGTACTGTTAAGATTCATTTTTAGGTGTTTTTGTCATGTTTGAAGATTGACTACCCTTGGTCACCATTTACTTTCATTGTACTGTATGGAAAAGAGCAAAGTGAACCTCCTGCTAGTGCTATTTTGTTATCACTGATATACTATTACAGTTTCATTGAATGTTTCATGAATTACATTTGATATACTTTACTTAAACTGTAATTGAAGTTGTAGTAATTTTGTTATTGTATTAATTTTAGTTTTTTTTAGTCTTAGTTATTTTATTACTTTAACTAAACAATGCCATTGCAACTAATAAAATAATATCATTTTTAAAATATATATTTAATACATTAATTTAATTTTAATTTATATATTTAATATATTTAAATTTAGTTTTATTTCAACTAACAAAATGTTTTTTTTTTTTATAGTTTTACTTAAGTTTTAATTATAGATGGGGTTTACTTATAGTTTAATTAACAATAATAACCCTCCTCTGTGGTCTACAGAAAAAAGAAAGCCATTAGTGGTTTGGAGAGACATGAGGCTGAGTAAATGATGACAGAATTTTTATTTTTGGTTGAACTATCCCTTTTAGACAGATGATAAGTTATGGTCAGACTTGTGTAATCCTTCTTCTTAAAAACTTTTCCTAAATGGTTTTTAGCAATCTTCTCTGCTTCCTTGGTTTACCTCAACTGATTGATAGTACTTCACCTGCCCCCAGTTAAAAACTCCTCATTGTCCTTTTCCCCATACCTTGCAGTATGGGTAATGTGCAGGTGCACAGAGAAAGTACAGACTGTATTTTTTCCTTTCAGCTGGCTCCTCGTTTCATTGATCTGGACCAGGTGGAGGTCTGATGGACAAAAACGAGCTTCAGCTCTGCTGACTGGAATGCAGCGCAGCTGCTGACTTTCCTCAATGACGTTTGGCACAGCGAGATCTGCTCAATGAATGTGAAGGTTTAATGTGGACGCCAGCTGAGCTGGCAAAGCCAAACATGCAGCACAACTGTTTTCAACATTGTAATAATAAGAAATGTTTCTTGAGCAGCAAATCAGCATATTAGAATGATTTCTGAAGAATCACGTGACACTGAAGACTGGAGTAATGATGCTGACAATTCAGCTTTGACAACACAGGAATAAATTACATTTAAAAACATTTAAAAAGAAAAGTTATTTTAAATTGTAATAATATTTAACAGTACTACTGTTTTTACTGTATTTTTGGGCAACACAAATGCAGACTTGATGAGCATTAGACGCTTTCAAAAACCGATCCCAAACTTTTGAACGAAAGTGTATGTATGTACAGTATGCATAGCGCCTCCACATTGTGCTCTGAGTGGGTTTGATTACATAGACCTAACACTTGTGGGCTTTGTGCAGTGCTTATCAACCTACTCTAGCTCTGCTTGGACCAATCCAGAACCTGAGATCCAGATGAATAGAAAGATTACATGTGTCATTTACTATAGATGACACTTTTATACAAAGCTACTTACCCTCCTCATATAAAAAGTGAACAAAGTGACGTGACATGTGGCCAAGTATGGTGACCCATACTTGGAATTAGTGCTCTGCAATTAACCCATCCAAAGTGCACACACACAGCAGTGAACACACACACACAGCAGTGAACACACACCCAGAGCAGTGGGCAGCCATTTTTTTGCTGCGGCGCCCGGGGAGCAGTTGGGGGTTGGGTTTGCTCAAGGGCACCTCAGTCGTGGTATTGAAGGTGGGAGAAAGCGCTGTACATTCACTCCCCCCACCTACAATCCCTGCCGGTACGAGACTCGAACCCACAACCTTTGGGTTACGAGTCCGACTCTCTAATCATTAGGCCACGACTTCCCCCCCTCTCTGATACAACCAGGGATATAAAATAACTTGTTCCCTACAATGCTGATACTTTATTGATCACTTTCTCATGGTCTGAACCACAACCTTTCAGTTATCCTCCAAGATATTTAGTCAATAGGCTTCCATGCCTCTTAAATATCTATCTATCTATCTATCTATCTATCTATCTATCTATCTCTTCATCTGTCTGTCAATCTCAAGAAAGCCTAAAAAAAGAACCTCCAAACATCCTTAAAGTTTTTAAAAACGTTTTTCCCCCAACATTTTTCAAACAAGGCTATCAAGTCACGATTCAGAGTCAAATTGCAAATCAGTATCCTGTTTGCTACCTTAATCGAAATTAAAATGGAATTTAAAACGCGTTCTCTATTCAATTCAGAATGCAGAATCCACACACATACAGCACAGTACTACACAGACATAAGCGCAGCTAAGTAACTAAAGATGCAGGGGCTGTGATGTTACTGTACTGAGTCAAAGACTATAGAATACAAGGACTTTGATTGAGTATCCGAAACGTCACAGACCACGAAGCTTGAATGTTTTTCATACTTTGTTGCAAGAACGGACTGACTTTGACTCCATGTGCATAAAACCCAGCAGATTAAATTACTTTCTGCAAACTGAGCAGAATGTTAAACCTGTTCCTTTCTCCTACAGAAATGCTTTGCTCACTCTTATAAGCCTGACAGAGACTGTATGTGAGAACTGCCATTAGGCAGTTTAAAGAACAGTTTTCAGAAATGCGTTGAAATAAATATATAAATAGTCAAACGCTTATATCAAATTACAATAAATAAGTAAATTAAGAACGATTTCCCTCTGAAATGTGATAATTTTTACTAACCTTTAGTAGCAAACGAGACAGAAGAGTTGGGTTTTTACTCAATAAGTCCACTTGAAGATGTGCTACAGTCCTCATGGCAACTCTCAACTGCCATTCTGAATTAAAAAAATGCATCTTAATTCCCTTCAGTCAACACATTATAACCAGAAGTGGTACACAGGTGCGCATGCGCGACCAGAATAAAAAATGCGCTGTGTAAATATGTTCAGACCCTACCGATTGTTGACAGCTGTTAATGTACAATCACTGTTTTATATCGACTAACTTTAATACTGTATAAGATTTCCACTCAAACTGAAAGCATAAATCTAGGCGATGCACTGCCAGTTTCAGAGCAAAATGCAAAACTGACATTTCATTCGTTAACGAGCTTCACTCGCCAGTGCTAAACCCGCCAAAATAAAAGCTGGCTGATTTTCGGTTTGAAAATGATGAAAATTAATTTTAAAAAGTTGATATTAGCATTGTATTTTTAAAGGGGTCATATGATGTTGCTAAAAAGAACATTATTTTGTGTATTTGGTGTAATGAAATGTGTATGCGGTTTAAGGTTAAAAAAACACATTATTTTCCACATACTGTACATTATTGTTTCTCCTCTATGCCCCGTCTTTCTGAAACGTGTCGATTTTTACAAACCTCATCGGTCTGAAAAGCGCGGTGTGCTCTGATTGGCCAGCTATCCAGTGCATTGTGATTGGCTGAATACCTCAAGCGTGTGACGGAAATGTTACGCCCCTTACTATACTGTGATGCCCTGTCCGGCCAGAGCGACGAGACAAAAACATTAAAACCTATTATAAATGAGGCATTTGTTGCATCCAGTGGGGACATAATTACGGATTATAATGACTTATACTGTCTTTTTACACGTTGCGTTGCATCGCGCCGCGTAAACATAAAACTATGTCTGCATTTGTGATCGGAAAAATTACAAACAATAAGTGCTACTCTACACTGCTCAAAAAACTCGTGTTTGAATCGTCAGTGGCAAATTCTTTAAATAGAAAAAAAGTACGTACAGTCTGAGAGTCAGAACAGTAGTATTGTAGTCTACTCTACCAGGATCAGGAAACAGTCCTCCATAAAATGCTGCACACATCTGAATATTTGGGTTAAACTGTTCTGGAACAGTGTTGTAAATACAACTTAACCACTGATTTCTAGTCCTGTCCTCTTTTGGAAGGCCAAACAAAATAGTTTCGCTTTCACAACGAAACAGCATCACACACCGCGGCCTTGAGTGAGCGGAGACCGGAGGCCTAGAGTGAGATTCAACGAAGGAGCGTCCTGCGGGCTTGCGGCAACCACATGTGACGACCCCGGGCTGGACTCCGCTTTGTCAATGGTGAAAGCCGATCCGGCGATCGACAACGCGAAGTTGATGTATTTCCTCAGCGACCAGCACAGATCAGCTCCAGGCATGACGAAATGATATCGTCCTCTTTTGGAAGGCCAAACAAAATAGTTTCGCTTTCACTACGAAACATACAGCATCTTCACGACACAGCGGCGGCGGCAACAATACTATAGCGAGAATAAAAGTTACGCCTTCTTTCTTTGCGTGAACATTTGGGCGGCGTTATGCAAATCTTCCCACATCGTGACGTAGACATGTGGGGGCGTGTTAGAACGAGCCATTTTAGGTAGGTGTGGTTGACTCTTAACTTTTATAAAGAATATCTCTTTGGATTTGAGACTTTAGTCTTTGCAACTTTACAGATCTTCTTTATGCACCAAGAGCTTGTAACACTTTAAAGAGAAAGGAAAAATTGAAATCACATCATACGACCCCTTTAAGTGCACTATAAAATAACCGTATTTTCATTTTATACTCAATTTATTTTTAAATATAGTATTATCACAGATTATTTTGTTTATTATTTTCTATTATTAAAATACAAAATAAATAATAACGCAATAATACTATTATCACTATTAATAATTATTTTGTTTTTATAGTTATATTTAATGAGTCATATGTGCAGTGTGAGTACCAAACCAAATCTCTGTGCTCTCATGAGAACCAGACCGAAAAACTGTGCACCCCTGATTATAACACATTAAAGTAATAAAAAACATATAAAATACATGTACAGTTTAATACACACACACATGTAAATAATAAATAATATACAGTATATATAATATTCTTGTGACCCAAATTCAATGTGGGGGATCACACAAAGGTTTTGCTGACAGGCATAATGCTGTGAACATGGACCTCAGCCGAGGTGTCACCGTTTTTAATGCTTACTTGAGGTTACTTACTTGAGGTTACAAATTGCCAGAGTCAAAACTCTGGCAATTTGATAATACCTAGAGTATCAAAATCAACTGCGGGCGGCAGATCCTTCTCCTTTTTAGTGCCCAAACTCTGGAATAACCTACCTAACACTGTTCTGGAGGCAGACACACTCGATGTCAGTTTAAATCTAGATTAAAAACCCATCTCTTTAACCTAGCTTACACATAACACACTAACACATTTCTAATATTCAAATTTGTTAAAGGATCTTTAGGCTGCATTAATTAGGACAACCGGAACTGGGAACACTTCCCATAACACCCGATGTACTTGCTACATGGTTAGAAGAATGGCATCTACGCTAATATCAGTCTGTGTCTTTCTTATTCCGAGGTTACCGTAGCCACCAGATCCAGTTTTCGTATCCAGCCCAGATGGTGGATCAGCACCTAGAGATGACCTGTACAGCCCTGAATGTCAGCGGAGATCAGGACAACTAGATGAGCCACAAAGACAGATCTCCAGTGAGGACCTTGTCTCCTAGACCAGAGGTCCCCAACAACCGGGACGTGACCCACTACCGGGCCTCTTTTGCTATTTCCAAAACTTAATTTTAAAGCTGGTAATGGAGGCTTGAGCCATTGATAGCATTCTAATGCAGTTATTAGTGCTGTTATTAGAAAGAGAGCGAGAGACAGAGACACACAGAGAAAGAAAAAGAAAGAGAGAGAGAGCTTGTGTGAATTAGGCTACCTCTGTGCGTCCCTCAACAGTGTTCTGCAGCAGTGTCTCTAAACAGCGCAGTTATTACCTCCCTAGTGAGAAATGTCATGTGTAGCCTTTAAGTTGCTACAGTATATAGGCTAACTGATCAATTCGTCAGGGCAGCGCTGACAACACCTTATTGTGCAAACTGCGTGACCGTAGTGTGCATGTGCGAGCACGTGTGATTTCAGTAATTCCTGTGTGCTGTATAGGTACTGTATGCTAATTTCCGTTATTACAGTTAACTATGCGAAGTGATATGGAACTGTAATGTGGTCAAGAGAGATGCCTGGAACTACGTTCGCCGTGCGTTTCCCTGAAAATAATTGCACACCTCAGAACGTTCGTCAGCCAATCACATTTAAGCATTCAACGGCCCCCGTAGTATAATAGGAGTTAAACCGATCGCAGTTGATCCGTAATAGGTATGGATGAGACCCTACCGTTCAGCATGCACGTGATTCGCAGATTAATTTGCCAATTTACACGTAGGCCTACAAGCAATTTTAAACCACAAGAAGAAACGAAAGAGAGTTCAATTTGTTACTCACGCGCTGTTCTCGCACACAATCAAAGCGTGCACAAGCATAAAGACGTGTTTCAGGCAGCGTGGAAATACCGAGTTGCGTATACATACACATAAAATTAGCTTATGTCAAAAACCCTTCACGGCATTGTCATTCTCTGTGCTTTAAATATTTTTTTTCTTGCTTATCCGAAAAAATAGTCCGATCTGTGACTCAAAAAAAAAAACACAATATAATGCGTTGAACCACTATAATGCTATTATAATACTATATAATAGCCTAATAAATAAATAAATAGATATATTTGTATATTAGGCTATTTATATATGTATATATGACTACTTACTTGAAAAATGTCCCAGTTCCCCTTTTTTGTTCTTACAGGGCTTTGCCACATCTGTTTTAAAAAATAAAATACTGTTCTGCTACAGGCCTGGATTAAAGTGTGCCTTTACAACTAATCAAATCACACTGTTTATATTGTTAATCTCTGTTTCTATCTATAAACCCCTTGCTCTCTTATATCTGATTTTATTTCCTAATTTTCACACCCCTCTCGATGTCATTGGCCCTCTTTGATATCTCTCCTCACTCTCCCATCAATCTCTTGCAATAAAGCCTTGCAGATGGATCCGCACGTCTCACGTCTCGTCAGCTCTGTAACACCTGATAAGCATCTCTCTTTAATGATCCCATTCTCTCTGTTTCCATCCTCATCCACTCCTCTTCACCCTCTTCTTAACAAATGAAGTCACTCATTTAACAAAAAATACCTTAGACGGTCATTTTTGCCCTGTATGGGTCAGGTTTTGGTAAGGTTTTAATTCTACATTTTAAGACAATGACTAGATAACTAGATTATATATATATATATATATATATAATTTCAGCTTAATTTCAGTTATCAAAAATGTCTTTATTGTTTCAGTTAATGGTCATAAACCACTTGATTTGTGTATTTTACTGCATTTCATTTAACTGATTTATTTTTAACTGTTGCTACACATAGGCTGCATTTTTTATTTATATAGTAGTAGTATACATACATACATACATACATATATACATATATATATATATATATATATATATAGTATCTCACAGAAGTGAGTACACCCCTCACATTTTTGTAAATATTTTATTATATCTTTTCATGTGACACTGAAGAAATGACACTTTGCTACAATGTAAAGTAATGAGTGTGCAGCTTGTATAATCGTGTAAATTTGCTGTCCCCTCAAAATAACTCAACACACAGCCATTAATGTCTAAACTGCTGGCCACAAAAGTGAGTACACCCCTAAGTGAAAATGTCCAAATTGGGCCTAATTAGCCATTTTCTCTCCCCGGTGTCATGTGACTCATTAGTGTTACAAGGTCTCAGGTGTGAATGGGGAACAGGTGTGTTAAATTTGGTGTTATCGCTCTCACTCTCTCATACTGGTCACTGGAAGTTCAACATGGCACCTCATGGCAAAGAACTCTCTGAGGATCTGAAAAAAAGATATAGGTATATTGTTGCTCTACATAAAGATGGCGTAGGCTATATGAAGATTGCCAAGACCCTGAAACTGAGCTGCAGCACGGTGGCCAAGACCATACAGCGGTTTAACAGGACAGGTTCCACTCAGAACAGGCCTCGCCATGGTCGACCAAAGAAGTTGAGTGCTG